TTAGATACTCTAAGGTGTTCTCTACATAAATCTGTTCTCGGATTTATTCTAGCTACTTTAGTTCACGGGAAAATTCAAAAATAAAAAGTGTCTTAAACTTTTGCGGTCCACTTTACGCGTAATAACGCTCATGACCGGATAGAGTTTTTGTTTAATCTGGAGGTTATCCTTGTCTTCAGAACCAATCAATACAATAACCGATATTTTTTTCGCATCGTTTGTGTCTGTAATCGATGTTGTTAAAACTAGAGCGACAATTTTTCATTTTTCTCTATATTATCTAATAAAAGCTATAATTTATGTTTTTTCATGGTCATGTCACAAGAGAATCAACAGGAGAACACTTAATGTTATATTACTCTGGATTAATCGCATTTTACTCGATATTTTCGTTAGCTAAAAAATATCATAACAACACAAATTTCCATGGTTAAGATTTTTGCTTTGCAAGTTTGATAAACATCTAAATTCCTGTCGTTTACCTTCTTCTTCTTCTTTTTTAAATAGAGAACTTATTCTACAACGTGACAACAATCAATTTCGTGTATTTGTATTAAAAACACGTCTTCCATATAGTTAATTGAAATAAAACGTTTTTTTACCACTCATCCTCCTTCATGCACTTACAAGATCGTGTTGAACTGAAAGAATAACAAAAATCTACACAGTACTTTGCGTATATAGACAGACATATCATCTTCAAAAATAAAAGAATGAGCGAAAAAAAATAACGAAAAATAGGTCAGAATACATTGTAGTTAACAAAAATTATAGATAGAATACATAACAAAAACAGAAATAAAAAATTCGGGATTGAAATAAATACCTAACACTGAAGATTAGTCGAAAAAAAAACTATTTTCAATCTCATCTATATCCGAATTGTTTATTCATCAATTTAGCTAAGCTAATAATAACAAGTGTCCCACATCATTAACTCGTACACACATTGTTCCTCGAGGATCAATTACAAATTCATTAATTGCTGTATTCTCATTACTAATCAACCAAGCTGTTTTCGGATTTGATTGTATAAAATGTTGAATTAGACTACGTATTGTTCCACCATGACTAAATATTCCAATAGTAATTGAACGATTTTGTTTAATTGATTCTTTTTTAGCTCGATCAATTAATGGATTTAAAAATTTTAATGCTCTTCTTTGTACTTGTCGTAATGATTCACCGTTTGGTGCTGAATGATCAAAATTTAAAACTTCCATTTTCTGAATAGTTTGTGGTGTATATATTTCATGACGATGTATACCTTCCCAATCACCCTGACTTTGTTCACAAAGATCTTCAACAGCATTGTCTGGTAATGATAATTGAGCTTCAGTCAATGCTATTTCAGCTGTTCGCTTAGTACGTACGGCTGTAGACGTATACGCTTGATCAAATATCAATTTTTCAATTTTTAATCGTTTTCCCAATAATTGTGCTTGTTTACAACCTAAATCAGTTAGATCGACTTCATTTGCTTGACCAGCAATTATATCCCGTTTTATATTAGATTGACTTTCTGCATGACGAAATAAGAATAATCTCACTTTATACGATTGATTTATTTCAACAGGCAAACTAATAGTATCATTTGAATGTGATGAAACATTGGTAGACATCAGAAGGTATTGATAAACTATAAACGGGGCTAAATTTTGCTATATTATAACTGAATAAAAAATGAATGAATTGTTAACGTAAATAAATATTCAAATGACTCATTAGAGAAAACGATAAGAAGTAAATTTACACAATGATCTTATATGTATATATATGATGAAAGAACAGAATATTACACGAGTACAAGTTAGTCGGAAATTGTAAAAATAATCAATCATTGGGAACAATGAACGAATACAGTACGATTTTTGTTAAGAGCACTGAACAAGTTTTGTATAATTCTTCCTCTTGAATTCCTCTGTAAGAGGAATAACAAGAAGTGAATAAATTAATGTAAACGTACACGCACGGGGTATAGGTTCCATCCAGATTCACCTTAGTTTACACTGTAGACCCAAGGTCTGCGCTGATACGCATTTTTTTCTTAGCAAGGAATTGTAAAATAAAATTCATCTTTTTTTTCATTGATAAATTCAATGTGAATAAAAATCGTTTTAGATCTTTTTAGTAGTCACTAAGGGTTTGAAATCATGATCATCTTTATTTAAATCGAATTCTGTTCGTTATCTCAGTGATATAATTCAGAAATTTATTATTTAATATTTTATTTATTCATTAACCCGAACCAAAAATAACTTAATGTCTTAAAGCAGATATTTCATATTCTCTGCGAAAAGCGAGTATATATTAAAAAAAACTTACTACTGAACAGAAATATGATTTAGTAAATTTACATCAGGAACACCAAGCGAACAATTTGCATCACTGTAGACAAAAAAAATGGCGATAGTTCGATGTATGGAATGTTTAAATCAGGGAAAATCTACTCTTAAATATTTTTGAATTAGTGTTTCAATTGATTACAAATAGAAAAGATTACATACCATATAAGAATAAAAACGATTTGAAACTAGTTGTAAAATAAGACAGTCATTTATTTTACACCGACGATTACAACTTTGTGTGTTCTGTTGAATAAATATAATTAGACTTTACAATAAAAAAAGAAAAAAAAACAAACAGAAAAAGAATGAATGATACAGCGGTTAAAAGAGAAATCTAATTGCACATATTATTTTAAATCACAGGAAAAAGAAGGATAATTTATTACAATTTTTTCATCTCCGTATAGTCAAGTTCTACTTTGAGGTAGACATACGGATAATATTCTTGTTGCGATGAAAATACACCGGGTATATCAAAATTCTAAATAAGAGAAGAAAAAAGAAAAGATTAGAAAAAAAATTTCAATAGCGTAAAGAGACAATTTACATCATCATGTCGTCCTGTACTCGATTGATCCAAATAACCAAATAACTGATTCAGTACATCACGTAATTTTTTCGCCGCACGACGCCATGGATGAATAACTATAGCCGCAAAATTCACTGGTAAACCATACCTATAGAATAGTTAAGAATCGAATAAACGGTATACATCTAGATAATGTAAAACAATAGTGAATGAAATAAAAAATAAATAATATATTTTTTAGACTGTTTCATCTTAGATACAGTCTTCTGTACTAAAAAATGTCAATTACTTCAGCAAAAAATCTAACTTACCTTAAAACTGATTCGACAAATATTCTTAACGCTTTAATATGAATAGATGCCGAAAAGACTTCTCCAAAATTAATTTTTAACCATCGTACTAAACTTCCATATAATTGTTGACGATCCGTTTCTAATTTGCTCAATTGCTGTTTATCCGATGATAATGCTTGTTCATCAAATGTAAACTCTCGAACAGTAAATCTAAAAATAACCAAATAATATAAGCAATTCATATGTATGAGATAAACAAAAATGACAATACAGCTTACTTATTTTCTCTGCATTTATGTTTAAATGTATCTTCTGTTTTTTGAAATAATGTAACCGTAAATAAACAAAAATCTTGATCTTCAGCAATTAATTCTGCTGTTCTTGGTACAATCATGGCACATAGTGTTTCATATTTCTCATTCCAGTCCTTCACTAACGCTTTTGGTACACAAACCAATAATGTTTTTAAATATTCACTGCCTAATAGAAAATTTTCTCTTTTCACAACATCATTTAAATTTCGTGTCAATAAACTGCCACTAGAATATACGCAAAAGTTTGTTTAAAAAAACGAAATATTAAAAATTAAACTTTTAAATACGAACGCTTGTTTTTTTTCTAGCGCTTGTAATGATTGTTTAACATTATTATATGTGTGACTTCGAAGTTTAAGTTCATTTTCGACATGTGTTACTGCCTAGAATTAATATCGCAAAAGTTCATAAATAGAATAATGACTAAGTTATACACTTACTTTAGAAATAACTTCTGATAAAGTTTTCAATGATTGTTTTGTTGGATATTTAGCGTGATCCCATTGAAAATCAGTCACATATGTCACAGGATCAACTAAAAAAGTAGGAAAAAGGCTTACTGTTACATGAAAAAACTTCTTTTGAACTAACTCTTTTATATTCATAAAAAGTTTAATATGAGAGCAACTGTTGTAAATCTTATTTGATTCATTTTATTAACTTATTTATTCAAATTTTCGACCTTTAAGGTCATTGTCAAGAGAACTTAAATGTAATAAACTTGCTAGCAATTAACAGAAGTGAATCACGTTGAGAAAAGGAAACTATTAGCAAGAAGTGTGACAATCACTTAACCATAACAGTATCCTCTTTTCTTTCGTCCTTGCTCTTGTAACTTGTTTCTTATTTAATATATTATTAGGCGTTTTACGTCCATGTTTTTATTTGTTGGGTGCATGGAATATCGCGAAAATCTCAATATGATTCACTTCTGCTAATTGCTAGCAAGTTTGTTACATTTAGTTTTTCTTGAGAATGACCGTAAAGATCGAAAATTGAATAACTAGGTTATTTTTCTATCAATTTTCTATTAAGAATAAGTTGGACGTATTTCTTCAATTAGTGATCTGTTCAATAAAAAAAATGTTTTCTTACCATTATTTGGTCCAACAACTAAATTTTCTGCTAATTTATTTTTTTCTCCTTCTAAAACCTCTCCGAAATATTGTGCCAATTTACGCGTAACACTAGATATAAAAAATGTTTAGTTAGAAAGGTAAATGTTTGTATACTGTAAATCCAATCGTACCCTTCTATATACGTATCTAATCTTCCAAGATCATCGGATAATGATACGAGTGAGTCAAGTGTACCAACCTTAAATGATACAAAAAACATACTCAAACAGAATTTATTCTTGTCTTCAACTAACCTTTAAATCTGGAATATTGAATATAAAATTTGTTGATAATTGATCTTTTCCCGTCGCAGTACAAACTTGGTCATACGTTTGCCTTGGAGTCGGTTTTCCTGGAGCAGAAATTAGCCAATATTCGTCCGACATCGAGAATGTTAAGGAAATCGATTTTTACACTCTAAAAAATATAGATTTATAAGAAAAACATGTCTATTAATCGAGAATAATGTCTAATGATAGAAGTTTAGTTTTCACACATCACCTTTTCTCATTTGTATTACGACAATGACAGTACTTATAAGACATCATTCTCTATTTATCATAGCAATTACTGAGATTTCAGAGAGATAGCAACGCTATCACAAAAATATGTTATGCAGCAAAAACGTTATCAGAGAAAAAGGGAAAGTAGGGTGCGAGGAACACAGTCAGATGGTCCGATTAGAAACTCATGACCATTTACTTGGAGTTTAGGCGTGCGCAAAAGGCTCTTTCAATGCACTGAAAAGGAGAAAACATCTTAATCAGTATAACAGCCCACTTCTACAGCAACGTATGCGAGCACGCATTACTGTCTATCTTCTTCTACAACACAGCTGACCTATACTGATGTCAGTTTACGTTAGTTTTCATTTCGATTAATAGATTCCTGTTAAAAACACAGTACACATTAATTTTTCAAAGTATCGATGCACCTTGTTTACGCGAGTGCGCTAAAAACTGTAACTAAAAACACTACACTATAATATAATAGATCGGTCAAAAAAAGTAAATACAAGAATGCAGCACTAATACAATTTGTACTTGTGCTCATATCTCTGGATACTAAACTTTAAACTGATCAACCTATGTATCCAAGGAACGAAGAAGTGCGCGGAATTAATATATTCATTTATAGCAGACCACGCATCATAAACAAATATATAGAACCTTGTCAAATCAAAAGATATTTACGTCAATATCAACTGTGAAAAATGGCCGCAGATAAAGCCATGCCCATGAAAGATGATTGGATAATCGCTTCGATCAAATTGTTAGATGTCGTCTTCAATCGGATGAAAGTAATTTTCTTTGCTCTTTGTTTTTTTAACTTCAAATTAAACCAAGTTTTTCGAGATAGTTTTTCTTAATTATCTTGAAAAACAAAGAATATTCCATATTCAAGTTCTCTTACCACGATCTTTTTGTCAGTTTCGCCATTCTTCACAATTGAATTTCTAAATTCACAGTTAGCCTCCATATATTGTTGATTGTAGCTGTTATTTGCCGGTAACTTTTGGCAAGGGAAGAAGAGCATGTAACGTACGCACACACTTTAAAATTGAAAAAAGAAAAGTTCGCAGCTTTTTTACCTACCTTTCTCTAAATCACATGCAAAAGTTTGTTCCATCATTGAGTAAGGTCCGTGAAATATGTAATCATGAACTGTTCAACCGGGAAGCTGTCAGTTAGCTCCGTGAAAATATGGAGTAAAGTACGTGAAAAATCATGGAGCTAACTGACAACTTCCGGGTTGAAAAGTTCATGATTATATATTTCACGGATCATGGAACGAACTTTTGTATATCACGTGGTCATTTTCATGGAGGGCAGATCAGCAAACTATTACGATTAATCAGGTTAAAGGGAAAAAAGAGGTTGAGCAGCTAGCCTGATTCGCTCTCAGTGAGAAGAGATGGGATCAGCGTTTGAATAAAGGGTGTAAAAAAAAGTGATTTAATGATTTAGAGGCGTCGAGTTTGTTCAAAGTTTAAATCTGAAGTTAGCCTTCTGTACTTGCCCGATAGTTAAAATGCAGCGACTTTGCAACCGACAAATATCGCGAGAACTTACAGATTCTACGTGGACGGATTTGCTTCGGATATTTTTAAATTTTATGTTCTACTGGTTAATAAGGGCGGTGCTTTTCTGCTTCGATGTATGCTTTTGTTGCTCTAAACTATTGTTGATTGTGGACGTATCCGCACACAAGTTTTTTAAGTTTTTTTTCCATCTATGTATCGAATCTCTACATGCACGAAAAATGTATTATATCGACCAGCCTTCGCCACACTAATAATTATAGAACAAAAAGACGGATGAAAACCTAAAAAGGAAATAAAACAGACAAAACGTATAAAGACAATAAAACAAAGATCCATACATTGACATGGCTTACAGTTAGGAAGTAAAAAATTTTTCGAAAGACAATAAAGAAGAACAAAAAGGTGACTAATTTTGAAAGATTGTTCGAAGTGAAGACTGTAAACCAAAAGTACAAAAAATGTACAGTGTAAAGAGAAAGATCATTTGCTAAACAGTTTCTTAACTCTTTCCAATCGGTGATTTATAGAATACACGACAATGTTGCCATATGGCAATATCACACTGGAAAGAGTTAAAGAGAAGGACTGAAAACATGTTCTGAAATAAAAATATGATAAATGATAAATTTTAAGAGTTATACAAGTCTAAAATATTTGTGACAAAGAGATAGTTAAAGAACAATAGAAATTATTTAATCACCTCAACTACTCCTCTACTCTTCAACATGCTTTACAAATTTCTTTGCTTTAATCATATTTTTTTGTACCAGTTATCAATCCCTTTTCGTTTTTGTTTTCTTATTTTTTGTCTGTTATTATATTTCCCAGTCATTTCTTTTTTAAGGCTCTTTTACAAATTGATATAATGTAATCTATCGGAGTGCGATTTCGATTTGTTTCAAGATATTTTACTCTCAAATAAAGTTTACACCAATAATAGAAAAAATAGATACACAACCTCTTCTGTTCATGATTTTCAGAACAGAATTATTGGTTTTTCTAGAAAAGAAATGATTTTAAGTCTTTTGCGCTTCTTCCTTTCTCTATTTTAGATTGAATTTATGCATATGTTGCTTACTTGATTGAAGGATGGAGCTATCAGATATACGATCAGTTTGAAGGTGATTTACTAAACAGTACCACAAAAATAGTCAGGTTTAGTAATGCTATTCTAATTTTTCTATTTCGAAAACTCGATATTAACTAATAAATTTCTTGCTAATTACTATTCATTTCCAATTAAGATACGGTCTACTAAAAAACGAAAAGTGTTTAAGAATTACGTATCTCGCCATTCCATAAAGGAGACTTTGGAGCATCTGGTCATAACGCCATGAAATTTAAGAATATTTTTTCTAACTAAGTTTTCTAAATGATCTTTGGAAAACTTGGTCATAGTAACAAAACTTTAAATAACAATATATTAATTATTTTTTTACATGTGCAGATGGTCTCGAGTGTTCTCTTTCAAATGGAAGTCAAGCGAAACCGTGCTTTTGTATTGTTGATCTGATTCTGATTCTGTGCTTAAAACTTTACAATCACTTTCTCATTTAGGAAGATTTTTAGAAAGCCTTCTCAAAGCCAGTGTACTTTCCACTGATTTTGAAAACTAATTTTATTGAATCGCGCAGATAAAATAGAGTTTATCTTGATCTTCTGAAGTAGTTTAAATCGATTTTGAGAGAATTATGAACTTTTTAATTCTCCGTGAAACTAGCCAGAACTTGATGATTTCATATTAATAATAAAGGTTATTATTAGGTTTTTAAATTTTCTTCGGAAATAAAACATTACCATGAAATGCAGTGTGGTCAGTAATCTATATTTCCGTTCGCTTTCTTGAAAACTGGTTACCGCGACTAAATAATGTAATATCAATGTTTCACTTGACTTCCATTTGAAAGAGAACACTCGAGACCATCTACACATGTAAAAAAAGTAATTAATATATTGTTATTTAAAGTTTTGTTACTATGAACAAGTTTCCAAAGATCATTTAGAAAATCTAGATAGAAAAAATATTTTTTAAATTTCATGGCGTTATGACCAGATGCTCCAAAGTCTCGTCTATGGAACGGCGAGATACGTAACTCTTAAACACTTTTTATTTTCTAGCAGACTGTATCTTAATTTGAAATGGATGGCGATACCAACAACTCTATTAAAATTGTGCAGTAAACGCGGAAGAAATTTTTGAAAGATGTCATTTATAGTCTGTAACTATTTAAAACCATATTTGTATTAAGTTACAACAAAAGTAATGAGTAAATTAGTCTACAATTCGCTCAATTTACTTATTTAATTCAGTAAAATTTGTTAAAAATATTGTGTCGTTTGAACTATCGTATGGCAAAAATAGAAAAACATGATCGATTCAAAATAAATATTCCAATAAAAGTTTCTGTTTTATCACTGATTGCAGGTGAATTCATTTCTTATTTTATTTTATTAATTAATTTTAATCTAAGCTGTCGAATCAACAATTCATCATCAGAATAAAAGAATTTTAAAATTTAAAACCGTTAAAACTACATAATCAATAAAAAAACAAAAACATTATTGTTTCGACGGACTACTTTTTCATTTTCTATAAAATATGTATAAATGTACGTGATAACCTATACAGAGAACTGTAAAATCTAAGTAGAGAGAGAGAACGAAAAGAAGAATGTACTAAGTCTTGGACTATTCGTATCAGGCCTGGATAAACATTATATACTTACAATAACAAAAATATGAAATATAGTTAACAATGAAATGACTTTTCAAACATTTAACTGGTTAGAACGGTTTTTCTTTTTCTTTTCACATGTGAACGATGACGAAAAGAAAGAGAACCCCTCAGAGAAAATATACAAGGGTACTGATCTATCTGTACCGTTAAACTGTGGTGTATTTGTACGAATAGCTAGAGACTCTCTTACCAATATAGTTGATAAGGTCTATGGTCTCTAACTAATATTTTACTTATTGAAATGAACAGAATGGCCTGTTTGAACTACCTGTTCAGAATTATAATTATTTTCTTTTTCTTATTAATATTTAAAGCAGGTGATAAATCGTCGATTCGAAAATTTAGATTAAAATTAATTAATAAAATAAAATAAGACATGATTTTAGCTGCAATCAATGATTAAAGAACGAAGATTTTTTTGTGTTCGGGTACAAAAAAATCTTTTTACACTTTTGTGTCCGGAGACAGATATGTACCCGAATTTGATTGATTTGTACCCGGTTTGTGTATGAGAAAATTTAATAGTAGAACTGGAGATGATCATAAGTTATCCTGACAGATATGGCTTGTGACATACGTCTATATGTTTATGTACAATTTTTCTC